GACACGCCCCGCTGCCTGGAGAGAGAGAACAGACCCAGCAAGAGAAGAGCTTTACAGCTTTCCCACTTGCCCCGGCCACGGAAGCTCAGATAACCTTGCCTCTAAGTGAAACCACAGCACCGCCCAGAAACCCCCAGCCCCACCCAACCCCAGCAGGAGTGCAGGAAGTGGGGTTCCCAGAATGAGCAACTGCTGAGCACTTTGGCTGAGAGCTATCGGTGTGATGTAAGCGGTTCCACACCAACGCGCCGAGGCCTCTCTCGCAGGCTTCAGATCCGGCTTATCAAATCTGATGTGCTCACGCTGCACAGTTACCCCAAGAGAGTTAGGAAAGGGGGATTCTGCTCTCATTCCACAAAAGAGAAAATACGGCTAGAGACAGGACAGAGGATAAGGCGCCGGTTTTCCACACAGACAGCCCCAGTGCTATCCCTCAGATCCCCCCAAGCACCTCTGGGAGTGAGCCAAGAGCAGAATCGGGACTAAGTCCTGAGCCCCCCCCCCCAGTCCACCCCCACTCCCCCACCACCTGGTGCAACAACAACAACACACACGCCCAAATGACAAAAACACTTCCAAGAGAGGGAGCAAGCAGATGGCATCATTAGGTTCCTTGAGGCTGGGAGATGGTTCGAAGGGCTGGAGTGCTTGGCATGCAGCGGCCCCGGGTTCGAGCCCCAACCTAGGCATCTCCAGTGTGATCCAGAAACCAAAGGAAATAATTAATAAACCTCTCCGCTAGTAAAGGACACTACTTGAAAGTCGGTCTCACCAAGATTCACGCAACAAGCGGGGGATTGTTCCTCCTCCACGCATTTGTGACTGGCAAAGAGGCTGAACACTTACCCCACTCCAGGCCCTGCTGTCCTACCACAGCCACTGACGTCATCGAAACCACAAGCTGTGCTGTCACGGGAGAACAAGAATGGGGCGATACTGTGAACACCCAGAGTGGACTGGGCACACAGAGTAACAGAACACAGGCAAACCGGGAAACCCAGCAGTCCCCTGGGGCAGATCCTCCAAGTCTGCACGATCCCAAGGATGGGGGTGACCAACCGGAAGCAAGACACTTGCCGCATGCAGCCCACCATCGGCCCTGCTTCTTCCAGATGCAACACAGAGCCCCTGGCCAGGGAGGAAATATGCCTAAGGAGGCGGGGGGAGAGAACCACAGGGTAGGAGAACAGGCAGTTTCTCCACCGCCACCAGTGAATGCTTCCTGGGCCTCCTGGAAGTCAGCAGAGCCCACGCAGGACAGAAGGGCAGCCCACAGAGGAGTAAGAGCTTTAACCCCACAGGCAGAAGGCCCAGGATCAAATGCAGTGAACAAAAAGGTTTGCCTCAACCACCCCCCCCCCACCCCGTCCCAATCCGGTCCACGCATCACACTCAAGCCTGTCAGACATGTGATTCCACCCTCTTCAAGTTTCATCATCCTTCTATCCAACATCCCTGTGCCTACAAACGCAGTCCCAGAAATGATAAGAGAAGGCCAAGGTCTAGAGAGCTCCTGCTTTGAAGAAAGACGGCTGCCACGGCGCCACATGGAGGCAGACAACAGACAAATCCAAGGGCTACGGGCCAAGGCAGTGGAGAACTAGGGGTCTGCTTCCTTGCCCTGGGCATGACATGCCTCTCTGAAGGCCAACTAGGACACAGCAGCAGGTAACAAGGATCATCACCCAGTGCACTACCCACAGCACCAAGCTATGAACAAATACTTAAAATACACTCTGGGGGCTGGAGAGACAGTACTACGGGTAGGTAGGATGTTCGTCTTGCACATGGCCAGAAGAGTTTGAACCCTGCAACCCAAAAGGTCCCCCAAGTCTGCCAGGAGTGATCCCTGTGCACAGAGCCAGGAGTAAGCACCAAGTATCATGGGCTGTGGCCCAAAAGCTGAAAAAGAATCTCTGATCCTGGATTCGCCATTAGTTCTTGGGCCCATGAATAATGAAATCAACGAATAAAATTTACAAAATCCCAGGAACTCCACCAACTCGCCCGGGACCAGAGGAACCAGCTGCCTTTGCAAGCCACCTCTTTGCTACCCCAACTTAGATTCAAAGGTGGTGTCTCAACTCACCCTTAAATCATTTCTTCGTCTAACTCATGGTCAGTGTTCTGGGTCACAGAAACGTAAGACTGAGAAGAGGCCCAGAACTTGGGAAGCGGTTGAGCAAGGCTCCAGGGGAGGTAGGTGGGAGGCATCAGTACAGTTTGTTAACTAGATGTTTCCAATTCTCAGCCCCACCCCAGCCTGAAGGTGTGACCCTGGGTCAGCTTTTGCCTTTGCAAGTCCCCTTTGAGGGGGAGCTCTACAAGCCAGGGTGAGAGTCATCCTGACCAAGCCACCAGGAATGTTCCAACTAATCACCATGAGTCCCCCACTGAGAACCACAGTAGATTTGGGGGGCGGGGAGGCAGATAAAGTGATACATGTGGCCCTGAGCAAGAAATACACCTTTGTTACTTTAGGCCACTGAGATTTGGGGATTGTAACCACAGTAAACCCTGATCTATCTAGGCAGAGAGCAAGAAGCAATGACTCACTCTCCAATCTTCTATGGAGATGCGGGTCTTCCCATTCCCAGGCATCCGGGAGATAAAAACTCTCTCCAGTCAATCAGCTGGAGTTCAGGAGCATCCCTTCTGTGACCAGACAGATAAGAAGAGGTGCTTTCAAAGGCAAGGGAAAGGAGGGGAGGGGACCAGCACGGGAGAGCCACAGTCCCACTGTGAACGAGGCCCGCTGGGTGTATTAATAAATTCCTATCGCTTCTGAGGAAGGCATCACCTCCATCAGAAATGAGGAGGCCTGCCTGGCTCATGTGGGGACTGGATGCAAGGTACTCTGCGACTTCCCTAGGCCTCAACTCGCTCATCTGTGAAATGGAACCTCGCATTAGACACCACACAGTGTTGTTCCAGGGATTAAACTATTCAAGTAGAGCATCAAAGGCAGTGTTTGTTGTAACTTTAAACTCCTCTGCAGGGCCCTCTATTCTCCATAATCGCCACTGGATGTTAAACCCAGCAAAGGTTTCCCAGTGGCCTACATCAAGGCACTTGGCAGGCATCACCCAACTGAACTCTATCTCAGCTGAAGTACAACAGGTAGTGAGTCAAATTCCCGAGCCCACAGCAGCCGAGAGTGAGACCCCAGCTGCCAGTTCCAGAACTCCTCGCTCCTCCTGGGGGTCTCCACAACCACTGCGACCCATCCCACACCCAGCACGAGCTTTGTCCTCTTTGCGCCCAAACACGGGCAGGGATGCACCCAGCCTCAGAACAGCACAGCTACCCAGCCGGTCAAGACGATGCCTTTCCCGGGCAGCCGACCTCTGGGTGGCCCTCTCCTCCCCTCTTAGAAGTGACCCACAAACCTCCAGAACCACCAGTGGAGTCCTGTCTGCCTGAGTAACAGGTGTAAGCTGAGCTGAAGCCCGAGTCACAAACACTCTACTGAGTGCCCGCCACAAAACCAGCTGGGCTCACAGAGCGCAGAGCTGGTAGGTAGGTAGTCTCGGAGCTGGCAAGAGGCGTGGGACTGGACCAGTTCCGCCCCCACCCCCATCTTCCTGCCAACCCTTCCCCCACACTCCCACACTCCCTCTGGGGGTGGAGGGAGGGGAGGAAATTTGGTGGCCCTAGCCGAAGTAGAGTTCAGAGACGTGGGGGACGGAGAGATCCAAACACTCCCCAACTGAATAGGGGGCTGCAACAAAGCGGGGGAAGCAGGAAGGGAGGAGAAATCGCTGGGGAAAGTTTGGCCTTCCAAGGCAAGTCTCAGGGACCCTGGCTGGGATGGGCTGGGATGGGCGAAGTTCAACTGAGAGGCGCGGGGGCGGAGGAAGGAGTTTATAGGCTTGGTTCTGAGGGTTCAGGGTCCAGGAGCACCCCCGAAGATGAGTGCCTCTGTCAAGGGCGAGGCTGACGGAAGGTGGAGGGGACTAAGGGCTACTGGAGTGCTGACAAGCCTATGCCCCCGCTGCCCCTTCACAAATGGGGCAGGGTGAGCCAAGCCCCCACGGACACTAAGTTCCCCTAACTTGGGATCGAGGTGGATGGGGGGACCCTCAACCCAAGAATAACCCCCATCTGAGAAGGAAAAGCACCCTCGAGAGCAAAGCACACCTGCTCTGTCGACCCCATCCACGACGATGCCTTGATGCCCTGAGACCCCAGGACTCCCCCCGCTCCCGGACTCATCACTGAGTCGACACCCCGCATCACGGATCGCCTACAGACCGAGAACCCACTTCAAGTCGCAAAGACGACCCGGCGGTGCTGGAACCTAAATCCTGCATATGTGTGTGTGTGTGTGTGTGTGAGTGCGCTCACACTCACGCACACACACACACACACACACACACACACACAAATTGCATGCACGCACACTTTCTACTCCACCACACCATCCCCCTCCCGGGGCCGGAGCTGCAGGCGGGCCCGGGAGCTCCGACTCAGCAGCCCACGGCCCGGTGGGGCCAGTCCCGCGGAGAAGCTGGGTCAGCCCCGGGTCCGACACGGGCCGCGTCGCGAACCTGTGCGCGCCGAGAGGGCCGCACGTCCGGGAAAGGGCGCCCCGGGAGCACGCCCACGGCGGGGCGGGGGGCGCACCGGCCCTCCCGACCCCCTTCCCCCGGCTCGGCGCCCCGCCCCGCACCCCCGGCCCGGGGGGCCAAGCAGGCAGGAGCCCCGCACACTGCCACCCGGGCCGGCCCCGGCGCGCAGGGCCAGGGGCGGCAGCGCAGCGCTCGGGCCGCCCGAGCGGGGCTCTGCGGGCTCCGGGCCGCGGCCTCCAGTGCCCCCGCGAGCGATCGGGGCAGACAAAGCCCGCGCCGCCCGCCGGGCCGCCCCGGGATGGGGGCGAGGGACCCCGAGGCGCCGAGCCGGGAGCTGGGCAGGGCGCCGAGCGTCGGGGGCGAGCAAGGCCGGAGACAATGAGGGGCGCAGGGCCCGACAACCCGGCCGGGGCTCCGCGCTCGACTCACCCGGGCGCGGCGGCGGCGGCGGAGGCGGCGGCGGCGACGCGGCCCGGCTCGGCCGAGGAAGTTAGAGCAAGTTCGGCGGCGCGGGGCGGGAGGGCGCGACTCGGGCCGTCCGAGCGGCGGGGGCGGGGCGCGGAGGGGCGGGGCCGGGGGCGGCGCCGGGCGGACGCCGAGGAAGGGGCGCCCGCGCTCCCCAGCGCGGCCCGGTGCGGCCCAGCGCGCCCGGCCCCGCCCCGTCCCGGTCGGCCCCGCCCTCTCCCGGTCGGCCCCGCCCCTCCCTCAGACTCCTCCCCTCCCCGCTGGCCCCGCCCCTCACTGATGGCCCCGCCTCCTGCCGCTCGCCCTGCCCAACCACGGCGCCGGGCTGGCCTTGGGGGCGTGGTCCAAGACCCGGACACGCCCCTTCGCCGGACTCTGGGCGTTGCCAGAGGCAGGGTCTGAGCGTTCCGGCGCCGCGTCGTCCCGTAGCGCGCACGCGCGCGCGGCGCTGCCGGAGCTTGGATCCCGCCCGCCGAGCCCTGTTGGCCGCGGCAAACGCGCCTCCGAGGTGCGCCGCCCTTTCGCCTCGCTGACCTCGTCTCGACCCGACCGACCCGGACCTGGGGGAAGCCTTAGCACCTGTGACGGGCGAGGGCAGACATCACCTCCAAGGGATCCAGGGAGGGACCGGGTAGAGGTGGGCCCAGGGCCCGACAGATGGACGTGTTGAAAATAGAAAGGCGTTCCTGCCAGGCCTGGAGAGGGTGCGAGTGGGGATAGACGCCAAAAAGGGATGCCACATTAAGATTTGTTTTTAAGTCTTTGCAAAGCTGAGCACTAAAGACCTGATCCCGCTAGCCTGGGTGCGAAAAAATACCCAGCTTTCCTGAGATGCCGTGCTGAGAATGGAAGATGGTTGGGAGAATTCTTGAATGGGGAAGGAGGGCACTGAGGTGACAGCCCGGAGTGGAGGGCTGGCTGTCCTCACTGCTGGTTGGATCCAGATTATAAAGGCTAGCCTCCGTGGGGGTCAGCTTCCTGGCTAGACCCTGCTTTGAAACTGCAGATACAGCTGTAAACAGGACAGCTGAGGCCTCTTCCACTTTTTCAGTGAGGCTTCAGCTATTTTTTCAGTGAAATAGAACATAACTGAAAATGGAAATAAATGCTGGGACATCCACAAGGGACTGGGCTAGAGAATAAGAGCTCCTTTAAATGGAGAAGTCAGGGGGCTGGAGTGATAGGGTAGGGCGTTTGCCTTGCACACGGCCAACCCAGGTTCGATTCCCAGCATCCCATATGGTCCCCTGAGCACCGCCAGGAGTAACTCCTGAGTGCAGAGCCAGGAGTAACCCCTATGCATCGCTGGGTGTGACCCAAAAAGCAATAAATAAATAAATGGAGCAGTCAGGAGAATTGTCCTAGAAGGAGGTGATGTTGACTCTGAAGTCTAAAGCATGAGAAATAGCCTTGGACAAACCTAAGAGGAAGGTACCAATACCCTAAAAAAGATTATCCCGGATGTGTCAAGATGCTGAACACACACACGCACACACACACAAGCACACACACCATCACCATCACTGCCACCACTCTCCTCACAAGGTTCCAAGGGAGAGCTCAAGTCTCACTCTTTTCCTACAGCCTCTACAGTTTCACTTCTTTATTTTTATTTCTTTTTTGGCTTTTGGAGTCACACCTGGTGATGCTCAGGGGTTACTCGTGGCTCTGCACTCAGGAATTACTCCTAGAATCCTTGAGGGACCATATGGAATACCAGGGCTCCAACCCAGGGCAGCGGTGTGCAAGACAAATGCCACTTCCCCTGTGTGATTGCTACCACCCCAGTCTTGACTGCTTCATTAACTGCCTCTTTGTTTTGAAGAAGCAGAATCAATTCTCTTTCAAAATTTTTATTTTAGTCACCATGAAATTGGGTTTCAGACTTACAATGTTTCAACACCAGGCCCTTCTCCAGCATCCAATTCCCTCCACCATTAATCCACCCCACCCGCCCCACCCCCATTTGTTTCCCATCCCACCTCTTCCTCTAGGAGCGGTGCTTTTCTTTCTTAATATATATGTTTCTGCACTGTGGTTTACAGTACTGTAACAGGTAGGGTTTCGTGCATAACACTTGACCACTTGACCACCTTCAGGACCACTTCCTTCTCCCAGTCAAACACTTCCCTCCACCATAGCTGTTGCCCCTTCCTGTCCTGTCCCCCTTCCCTCGCCTCATGTACTCCTTTCCTGCTGAAGACCAGGTAGGTCCTCATGTTCTTTGTTTTCACTGTAACTCTCCCTCTCAAAGAACAGACTTCACCAGACAATTCTCCATCCATCTCTCACTCTCATCCTCTCTCAGCTAACAGCCTCTCACCTTCGTTTATCCTTGGGCCTATTGTAGGCCAGCTTTGGACCCAACTATTCTGCTGAATAGTTCTGACAGAATAGCTTCCTATTTTTACAGTTCACTGACACAGCCAACTTCTACTCCTGGGCTCTTGCTGACACCAGTGGTCTTGCTGACCCTCTCTGCGGCTCTGGAGGCTGGGCCCCACTCGTCCTTCCCAAAATACTCATTTCCCTTGACTTCCATATACTCTGCCCTTCTGGCACTGTGCCTGCCTCACTAGCCTCTAATTTGGAGTGTGGGGCACACCCGGCAGTGCTCGGGGCTTACTCCTGGCTCTGCGCACAGGGTCACTCCTGGCAAGGGTCAGGGACCATATGTGGTATCTGGAAATAAACCCTGGCTGGGAGTGTTCGAATCAAGTGCCCCATACAGCCATTCTTTCTCAGGCTGCTTGGAGCTTCGCTTCTGGCACTTCTGATCTTTGCCCATTTTGCCATCATTAGCCCTTGTCATCTCCCCGTCTCCTCTACTCCTGTGATTTTAATTATCACCCTGGGCTATTGTTTCAGTGTCCCTTCTCCCCTTTCAAATTCGAGGGAAATGAATTTTAAAAGGAGAAAGAAAAAAATTGCATTTCCCAGCCTCCCTTGGAGTTCAGCTTGCCCTGTGACCAGAATTGACCCATGAGGCATAACAGCGTTCGGTGGGGATTCCTGGGAAAGTGTTGGTTTCCCAGCACAAGTGATGCCCTGCCAACCCTTTGCCCTTTTCCTGCTTGTTGAGTGCAGGTCAGAAGCCATGCTGGGGGCGGCCAGCACGGGCCCTGCAAGCACAAGTAGACAGATACTGAGGACGCAAGCTTCCTCGTAAGGAGAACCAGAACCAAGGACTGCACTCATTTGTGGAGTGTAAAAAAAATAAAAAACATGAGACTGATACCCAAGGACAATAGACGTAAGGGCCAGGAGGATTGCTCCATAGTTGGAAGCCTGCCTTATGAATGGGGGAGGGGGCGTGATCAGTCCAGATGGGAGATGTGTGCTGAAAGTAGATAAAGGACCAAACATGATAACCTCTCAGTATCTGTGTTGGAAACCATAATGCCCAAAAGTAGAGAAAGAGTATGGGGAAAACTGTCTGCCATGGAGGCAGGGGGAGGGTGGGAAAGGGGGTGCACTGGGGAGATTGGTGATGGGGGATGTGCACTGGTGGAGAGATGGGTGTTTGATTATTGTATGATTGTAATCCATACATGAAAGCTTGTAACTGCATCTCACAGTGATTCAATTAAAAAAAATAAATGAAAAAAGGAGAGCCAGAGCAGACCTACAGAGCCCAACAGGAGCCTGGGCGACACCAAGGAGTAAGTGGCTGGCCAGTGTTGCTTGGGTCACCTTTAATTGTTTGTATGATGTCAGAGTTTTTCAGCAGCCATGTCAGCGAATGGCAACAAAATCCATTTGATTAAACAGCAGAGTTGCCTTGCTCTCACAGAAGCTGAAAATAAACTCTGATTAGTAAAACGCCCAGACTTATGGTTCTACTATGATCTGGGATCTGCAGGGATCTCTCCTGAACTCCAAAGAGCAAATTGAGCCTCTCTCCTCTGTCCAGGGCCACTTCTAATACGGGGCCAACTCATCACTACTTGCCAATATTTGTCTTTCTCACACTATACACGCAAACCACACTGCACATGCGTGCGCGCACACACACACACACAGAGAGAGAGAGAGAGAGAGAGAGAGAGAGAGAGAGAGGTGACTTGGATTCTGTATCTGTCTATGCATCCGGAACATATCTCTTCATTGTCTTCCCACCCAAACATCCAAATAGTGGCTCCAGGTTCTCCCTCCTGAATAAATGCATGTTGCATAGTTTGCCTCTTTCCCTTTCATCGGCTTCCTGAACCAGGAGCGGCTTTTCCTAAGCAGCGCCCTTCCTAACTATTCTTTACTCCAATCTTTCCCAAGTTCGGCAATACTGTCGTGCCCCTTGGGTGGGTGGGGGAGAGTGGAGCAGCCTCAGTTACAATTGGGGGTTTACTTGTTGGGGGTGGGTTATCAGTCTAAGGTACAAGTGTAGGGGGGAGGTGGAGGGAGTCGGTTTCTCTTTATTCACTCAAAGAAGGCACGTTCCCAGGGAGCTGCTAAATCTTTTTTTTTTTTTTTTCTGAAAAGGGATCAGTTGGTCCCATGGGTTTGGGAACTTCTGCTTTCCTCCAATCTTGCTCCCTCCAATACGTTCTTCCTACTTCAGCCATAGGATCTTTCTAACCATGTCATTCTGCCACCTAAAACCTTTCAGTGACTGCTTAGAGCCTAAGGAATGCCAGGTATAGTAAGACTGTCGGGAATTATGAAGTCAGTCCTGAATATACCATTTGACATAGGAATGACCCTATTCACCAGACGGATGCACAGGTGACCAGAGCTGGGTGAATTAGAGTCTGTCCTTGAGATCTGGCTCCATTAGCTGACTGGTATTCAAATTTTGTTTGGGGGTGGGGGAGGGCAAAGGCTGAGAGGACTAGAAGGCAGGAGCTGAAGAAGGGTCAGCTTCTATTTTTCATTCTTGAGTGACTCGGGCAGTTCTCCCTTCCTCCACACATGCTCTGGCCCCTGTCCCTCTTCCCTGTCCCCTCCTTGCCCTCCCCCCGCCTCACAGGCTCCCTGTTGTAGCCCTGCTCTTTTTTTTTTTTTTTGACTTTTGAGTCACACCTGGTGATGCACAGGGGATACTCCTGGCTCTGCACTCAGAAATTACTCCTGGCAGCGCTCGGGGGACCATATGAGATGCTGGGGATCGAACCCGGGTCGGCCGGGTGCAAGGCAAATGCTCTACCTGCTCTGTGATC